CAATGAATTCAGAGTGTGTGTTTGTGTGGTGGCTGTAATGTTCGTGTGTATAGTGAATGCAGAGTATGTGTTTGTGTAGTGGATGGAGTGTGTGTACAGTGAATGCAAAGTGTGTAAAGTGAATACAGAGTGCGTGTTTGTGTAGTGGATGTAATATTTGTGTGTATAGTGAATGCAGTGTGTGTGTTTGTGTAGTGTATGTCATGTTTGTGTGTATTAGATGCAGTGTGTATAGTAAATGCTGAGTGTGTGTATAGTCAATGCAGAATGTGTATGAGAGTGTGTGTTTGTGTAGTGGGTGGAGTGTGTGCACAGCGAATGCAGAGTGTATACAGTGAATGCATAGTGTGCGTTTGTGTAGTGGATGTAATGTTCGTGTGTATAGTGAATGCAGAATGTGTATTTGTGTAGTGGATGTAATGTTTGCGTGTATAGTGAATGCCGAGTGTGTGTTTGTGTAGTGGATGGAGTGTGTGTACACTGAATGCAAAGTGTGTATAGTGGATGGAGTGTGTGTTTGTGTAGCGGATGTCATGTTTGTGTGTATAATAAATGCAGAGTGTGTGTATAGTGAATGCAGAGTGTGTATAGTGAATACAGAGTTTGTATAAGGAATGCAGAGTGTGTGTTTCTTTAGTGGATGTAGTGTGTGTGTATTAGATGCAGCGCGCATAGTGAATGCAGTGTGTGTATTGTGAATGCAAAGTGTGTATAGTGAATGCAGGGTGTGTGTTTGTGTAGTGGAGGCAGTGTGTTTACAGTGAATGCAGAGTGTGTGTTTGTGTAGTGGAGGCAGTGTGTAGAGTGAATGCAGAGTGTGTATTTGTGTAAGGATGTAGTGTGTGTAAGTGTTGTGTAAAATAAGGGGGGTGGGGTGCTGCATTCTGTGGGGGGAAAAGAGCACATGTGTTGTTGCTTTTACAGAAGGCCAGCACACTCCGGTATCTTCACTTTACAGCATATCCTCTCTCTTTCTCCCTAACTGTCACGAGCCTTGCCTGCGTGCTGCGGAGCGTTGACATGGTATCCAGCGAAATGGATAAAAAAAGTGCCCCATCGATTATTGAGGTTAAAGTAAAAACCACTTAATGGACCAATTAACAGCTGCGAAACACAACTCCCTTACCTTGTTTTATAAAATGTGGGAGCCTTGGCAGGAGTACAAGGACACATACAATCACAAAGTATTGACCCTAATGGGAGTTTTCCATCACGCCGTGGCATCCCTTCATCGCCGTCTCCCCTTCCCTTCTACAGTGTTATTTTTTTCTTGTTATAGAATTTTATGAAGTTGCGTAAAATTAATAAAAAGGCACCGATACAACAGTCAAGAATATTGACATATAAAAATACTTGCAGTATAGGGGGAACAGACGCCATTCTGGCCAGCTCCCAAAAAAAGACTCGAAATCCATTGAAAATCGATCTACCAAAAGCCCATCCAGCCATCTCAAGGTGTCATCTGGACCGAGCAACAAACCTTGTATCACCCAATACCACACGATGCCATTTTTCTTGGCACCCAACCAGCCCAAACGGAGGCGAAAAATTGGGGCCTACCCCACGCTGACCATACCAAACCTGGAAGCACTGCTGGCTAGACCCACAGAGAGGGGAACGGGCACGGAACCTGCACCCACGACATCCCTCCCTCTAACCCACAAGCCAGCTATGGGAAGACGCTCCCAAAAGCCTATCACGGCAGCAGACACCAGGGACATTGGAGCCATGCTGCAAAGGCTTACACAACCAAAGTCCGCTCCAGCGGAAGACCCGCGAAACGCTCCGCATGCCCACCCGCCCGAACAACACACGCTAGAGGAGTCTCCGGTCCCCCTAACAACACCAGCAACATCCCTGGATTCCCCCACAGACTCGACCCCTACCACCAAACACGATCTAAAGATCTTACTGGCGGAGATCCAGAAAACGCTGGCAGTGGAACTTGCTCCCATCAGGACGGAGGTAACAGCCATCAAAGACCGGGTGAAAGCCTCAGAAGAGAGCATATCTGACCTACAGGGCCACCTGTCCACCCTACAAGACTCAGTACATCAGGTCTGGACCCAGCAAAGAGCCCTGACAGCCCAGGTTACTGCCATAGAGGACAGGCAACGCCGCACTCACATCAAGATAAGGGGAATACCCGCGGCAATCTCAGGGGAGGAATTACCCCACTACATAAGACGCTTGCTGGCAACCATACTACCTCAAGCCATGGCCAAAAAGCTGTCCATAGAGGGGGTATATCGCCTGCCCAGCAACACCAAACTGCCACCCAACAGTGCTCGAGACGTCATTCTCAGATGCCTAACCGTTCCTGACAAAACCCAAATCATGTCAGCACTCAGGGGAAGAACACCTCTGACCTTCAATCTCTTACATTCTTTCAGGACCTAACAAAAGGCACACTCATATGGCGAAAAAAACCCTTGCTCCGGTTACAAGACACCAACAAACAACAGGAATGACCTACAGATGGGGGACAGGAAGATCCATGACGGTGCAACATAACGGAGCCACACACTCCATCTCATCAATGGAGGAAGCACCCACCTTCCTCCTGGCACTGGGACTGAGGACCTCAGACACCGGCCAAACCTCAGAGACATGGGACCCTGAACATGTAGTACCCTTTGTCCCAAGAGCCCAAAGCTCCCAGGCAGCCGCAACATGACAGTGCAGACGGGGCCAGAGCCTCTCGGGCCGGATGTACACACAGCCAAAGGAAGCACACATCTTGCACAGGTAATGGACCTGAAAGTTATAGAGACGCTACAGTTATGCTTTGATACCTCTAGGTTTTCTTTTTGGTTACTTATGCACTCCTTTTCTCTTTTATTTTTGTTGCCGCTCATTTCAGGCTAATCTATGATGTAAAATGTTATATTATCACCTGGGATCACCAAACCCAACCTGTTATACCTCTCAAGGGCAGTTAGAACCACAGACCCAGCAGGGCAAGTACCTTTCACACCACATTCGTTCCACCCGCCGCCCCCTTGGTTAGGGGTACTCCACTCAATGCATAGCACCCAACTACTCTCTGATCTCACGACTATGCACGCACAATACACATGCTAGATCCTGTTGTGGCACAACACACACATATATGCCAGGGCACACTCCACTCTCCTTGATTCTACCACTCAGAGCATATATGATATCTTAAGTACTAAGTAGGAAACAATCTTGCTTGTAATCAGACACATAGTAGGCCCTCCTGATACTTAGCCTAGATTATACCTGTTATTAAAAAAAAAATGTGCAATGTTTCTCTCTTGTAACGCATGTATACTAAACTTAACTAAATTGTTAATGTACAACGTTTGACTTAAGAAATGCACGGAAAAATAAAGAATTAAAAAAAAAAAATACTTGCAGTATAAACTTCAAGAGACTCCTCAATTTAAGCTTCCTGTGGTCACCTCCAAAGGGGTACCCAGAGTGGATTGATATTTTTCTAAGAATATTGACATGACATGATCATACTGTATACATGGGCATGTTTACCTCATGAGCACATGTATTAATATCTTCAATGTGATCTTATTGCCTCTTTGATAAAGTAATATGACTTGGAAGGTTAAGTGACATTTTTCTTATGCAAAATAAATAAAGAATTTTAAACAAAAATAGTACACGGGGTGTTCCTTTAAGTTTATGATATCCTTTAAAGACCAAAGATCTCCCCAATCATAGGTTTCTCAACCTCTTCCTCCATGTAAGAGAGATATCAACAGATAAAGTGAAATATAAATTGGGAAAAGGGTCAAGCTTCATTTGTATTTTGATAGGAGTTTGGCTTTGTTTGGTGCAAATATTCCATGTTATGAGTAGGAATTAATGCATGTATGCAATGTGCAATAAAAAAAATAAATATATATATATATATAAAAATAGATGTTTCCCCTGCACTCACGCTTACAAGATAGTCCAATGCCGGGGCACCACCAGAGCTCCAAGATATGTAAAAACCAACAAGAAGGAAGGCTGCTCTCCGGACTTAAAACAAAAATGTTTATTCAAATTATATTAAAAAACACGACCAACGTTTCGGTCCCCGTTCGGGACCTTCCTCAGGGTCAAAAATGTTGTCTTGTTGTCCTATTTTTGACCCTGAGGAAGGTCCCGAACGGGGACCGAAACGTTGGTCGTGTTTTTTAATATAATTTGAATAAACTTTTTTGTTTTAAGTCTGGAGAGCAGCCTTCCTTCTTGTTGGTTTATATATATATATATATATATATATAAAGCAATCTTCAAGTAGATAGCACTCCAAGGTCTTTTTTCCAAAGTAAAACTTTTAATGCTCAAATAAAAATCAACATTTCAGTTCAACATTGCAAACTTTCATCATATATATAAATATATAGTGTTTAAGTAGAGATTGCAGCCGTATTAGTCCAGCGATGTAGATGTAAAAAACAGATAAAATTTGTATCTTGTAATACCTTTTTTTTATTGGACTAACAGAATTTTTTAATGACAAGCTTTCGGGAGAACCTCCCTTTCTCAAGATCTTGAGAAAGACCCGAACGGGTTGAAACGTCGATCAAGCTGAATGTAAACTGACATTTGTATTAAAAATAGTATTTTGTTTATAAAAGACCGGAGAGTGCATCTCTTTTCAAGGTATATATATCTGCTAACGTGGGATTGCACCAGAGCATTAAACTACACTGCAGGAGAAAGGGTGAGTGCCAAGCTACTTACCTATTTTTGTATATACAGGTATATTATTATTATGTTATTTATATATATTTATATATGTATATACACACACATATTTATACAGGTTTGTTTGAATGATTACATAGTTTACTGAATAGGAAGTTGGTTGGAAGAAGTCACATTGAATTTAAAGTTAGCTGAATAAGAAGCCAACTATACTTTGACATTTTTTTTTTTTTTAAAGTTTTGCAAATCCCCCATGTTTTTCTGTAGACTTATAACATGTGACTGCTGCTGGTGCACTGACAAGCTTCCATGATTAATTATTAAAGTCCCTGTCTGCAGGGGTATTTACACGGCATCACTTTCCATGTATCTGTATGACAACACGGTGGGCGTGGGTTGGAATCCCTGCTGTGACCTGCCAGGCACTGAGACTGCCTGTCACGTGACTGGCAAGCGAAGCAGTCCCCCTCTGCCCTTACTTCACCGGATCTCCGGGTCCACGTCAAACCCGTGATGTCACCGGGCCATCGCCGCTGTGATTGGCTACGACGCGTTCCATGCCTCCACGTCACACCAGCAGCTGAAAGCCGGAACTGGAAGGCGAGCTGAGCGTGAGTCCGTGGAGCTCGGAGTGGGAAAGCTGCCTGGCAAGACCGGGGATTGTGTAGGCCTTGTCCCTGTGTGATCAGCAGGATGTGCACAGCAGAGGTGTAGCAGCCGCAGAAGGACTCATAGTGTGTGGCCATGGGCTGGTTAACTTTAACACTGGCTGGGCTGAGGAGCTTACTGTTCTCCTTCATATTGTGTGTGGCCGTACTCCGGACTGTACAAGCTGCCATGACCAAGGAAGAGAAAACTCAGCTCAGGTAATTGTTTAACCAGGCTGGGGTAAGGATTCCAGATGGTGCCGAGTTTGGCTTCGCTAAGCATTGTGTGAAATGTAGTCCATGTGAATAGGTGTGCCAGAGATTAGCTACCTCTGCAGTGCTTTAAGGGTTAGCCCTGCCCTGCCTTACTGCCATGGCCCCTTCAGATCTTGGTTACATTTCCTTACATGTTCAGCCATTGTTTGGGTCCAGCTGGTGTGGACATTCTCCTGGGGGTACATGGGAAATGTAGTCCACAACAGCTGGAGGTCCTTCTGAGAAATATCACTCATGTCCTTGGTTAATACAGTGAACACTACCCATGCACACAAATATTTGTGAACTACAATTGACTGTTATTTGTGCTGGAGGCAGGGGAGAGCTGTCTGTATTTGGCTCTGGGATAAAGACAAACAGCCCAATTTGAGAACAAACCAGCACACCCTCATACCATATTTTCTCAGTATAATATGACATGTTTTATACTGATACTGCTTGAACTTAAATACAATAAAAGTACAATGATTCTGTTACATAATATTTTCGAGTATTGTGATGTAATGCAGTAGCCCACAATCCACTCTATCCTAGTGGCTTGATGGGCATATGCCCCCTTTCCAGCAATCCCCTAGTTGGTTGTGCATACTAGGGAATGTAGTTTTACAAATATCTGGGTTGCTAAGGTAAGGTGTAAATGGTTTAATTACGAACGTGACATTTCTGGATTAGTGTTCTGGTGTACCTGTGTAGGAGCCACAAGCACCTGTTTAAATACTAATGATGTTCACAATGGAAATAGGTACTTGCTCTGATACATATAAGAAGATATAAGTCGTCCTAACGGGTATTATTTTGAGCGCAAAGCGTTAAATGTTGCAACATTCTGTTGGTTTCTGTGACGATTGCAACTTATTTAGCATTTTGTGTCATAAATTTTACCCATAGACTGTTGCCCTGTATTTGGGTACATCAACCTTTTTTATAAAAGTATGTTGAATCATAGAATGATGCTTTTTCTTTTCCTTTTCATTTTATTGAAGAAAATAAAGCCGATGCATGAATAATGTAGGCCAAATAGAACAATATATAGTGACAAATCAAAGTGATATATTTTTTTTTTACTTGTCATAATACATTGGATAGTACATATCCATATCATTGGTGTTATCACAGTATGTAGAAAAACATTACCTTGTCATGCATGTTTTCAAGGCACCAAGCAGGGGTAGTAAAGACAGAATATATTTGTAATGATTTGGAATATAACCACATAGATGCCGCTTATGGTCATATATCAGAACGCTATGACGTGGGAGGTGGTTGTAAAGGCGGATGGAAATACTATCCAAGAATGTTAGATCTACCTATATGGGCGATACTTCATCAATATTGCCTGTTTGACTTTCACCAGGACCCCAAAAGATTTTACTTTCTGTATCCATTTTGTACTTAGGGGGGAAAAGTTTATTTCAATTTGACTGCTATAAGAAATTAATTTGTGGTAAGTGAAATAATAACGACTTTAGATTTGGGGCTGGAAATTTCAGTTCGTTGAAGGAGAAATATCTCTGGAGGGAACTCAAAGCAGCTGTGTCACTTTCTGACGTATTCCTAATGACATACTTTTCATGAAAAGCTCTTGCAATGAAGAGATATACATGAAACAAAGTGGTGACAATTAAGGCTTATGTAATTGTCAATCTCTTGCAAAATCTGCTTTAATTACAATTCTGTAACAGTTTTAATGGAATCTGCAATTTTTTGCCATAAAAGGTACAATATGTGGACAGAGGCGCCACATTTGTATGAAGGATCCATCCTTGTTGATTCTACAGTCCCAACAAATTATGGAGAATTAACATATAGAGCGGTTTGTAGTTTTTCCATACATGTGCGCTAGCCTCTCACTGCTTTATTTCAGTCAATCCAAAGCTTTCTCATAATAATCAAATTTGATGAAGTCTGGTTCATCCGCAAAGAGGGCAGTGCGGCATGGGATAAAAGCAAAGTAATTTACCCTTTTAACCATTACAGGATGGGGTGGGGGTGGCTGGTATTCTAGGACACTATAGCATACACGTTTGTATTCCTAGCTCTACAGTGTTCCTTTAAGTAGAAGTGAATTAGAGGGTGCAGTCCTGTGAGGTATATCCAATGTGTAGATTTCATGGGGAGGTTTATCAGTTTGTTTTGCTTGCACGCTCTTTCTCTTTTGAGATGAGAGCCCTGTATAATTTAGTTTGGCTCTCATTTTGTTTTTATGGTAGTCTGACTGTAGATATGGGGACATATCTGAAGAATATCAATTTTTTTTTTTTTTTTCTCTAAACGGATTCTGAATAGAAGGTGAAATCCTGTTGCATCATTACAGAGTATCATTAAAGGCTTGACTTTAGTGGTTTGACATGGCCATGATGATTAGAATCTATGTGCTGCCTTTCACTATGAAACGTTGCATATACAGACTTTAACCCCTCTACTACTGGAAGTGTAATTCCATCACTGGTCGTGTCATTGGTGATTCATTAGCCAGACTGGATCAAGAGTTACGGGTAACTGTGTATTCTGTGGAATTTTCCCATCCCACCAGCACCCCTGCCACTCTGTATATCCCATGTCCTCCATTCAGCCTGATCTCCCTGCCCCTCCAGCAAGATGAGTCTCGTGAGCATTTCAGAACTTAGCTCAGGAGGGCTAAGGTAAGTTCTGGCTGAGGAACTTTCTTCTCTTTGGCCATGGTAACGGAGGTCGTGTGTGGCTCCTGGCAGACCCCAGGTGGAATAACTGTTTGAAAACAGTTTGCTTATATACTCCAGAAACCATAACCATTAAAAGTGGAAGTAGTAAATCAAGGTGCATAACCACTGCATCTATCTGTAGTGGTTATGGTTTCTGGAGTATTCCTTTAATAATTTTAATTGGATAGGGTGTATGATTCACACAAGCTTAAAAGAAACATTAAATTATGTGGGTTTTATTCACTTAACAGTGAATTGAAAGCTGTTGATTTTGGTGGGAAAGTTGCTGTTCAGACTCCTAAAACATGACCCCTCAGCTGCTACCGAGATGAAGAATTCATTATCCATTCATATTTGGGCTACGTCACCACCATTCCCATGTTTAAGGAAAACAGAAGTGACATACATGCTTTTAAAGGGTTATTGTAACCATTACTGATCACTGTAGTGGGTATGATGCCAGAAGTATCCTGGCCCAGTTTACCAAAATGGGGCAAACTGTTTTGCGATAGTTTGCCCTCTTACCTGGCTCCCTGCTGGGTGCCCATAGTCCTACTTCCTCTGATTTGCTGCAGAAGCCAAATGCGATCCCATCCGCATCCATTGGCTTAGATTGTCAGCTGATTGCTCTCTTATTTCACGCTGGCTAATGATGCCCCAGTGATGCTACCAGAGGTGAAGTTACACCTCGGGCAGCAAAGGGGCTAAACTCTGTATGTGCAATGTTTCATAGCGAAATCATACAGACTTCAGGCACCCCGATCACTTCAAAACACTCTAACTAGCACCCAACAACCCACATTTTCCAAACAAAATAGCTATGGATATTACTACTTGCCTTGCTTAGTAGCATGTGTTAAGATTTGCTGTGACATGTGAAATTATATTGACTGTTTCCCTTAAAAGCTATTTATAAGAGAAAAGAAAATTTGTTAAATTATTGCTTCATATAATGCAGCTTTTAAATGAATCATCATAACCCACTCCCAATCAAACCATCTCAAGTAAGTCCCTGGGCAAGACACCTAAAGATATATCCTTCCTATCTTTGTTTGATAATTATAAATTTCTGCAGAGTATGTTGGTGCTATATAAATGCTGATAATAATACTGCTGTCATATAAATTCAAGCAGAATTAAAGGCTGTGTACTTTATCTAACAGTACTTGTTAAAGCGATAAAGAACAGAGCCGGTAAAGGGAAGCCGTCATGTTAACCCTGCATTGAAAAACATTGCTGTTTTTACAAACTAGAACATTATAGTGCCAGGAAAACTTGTTTGTTTTTCTAAAGCTACAGTTATCCTTTAAAACATGAAATATACAGCCATGTTTTTATGCTGAAACTGTGCTGCACTGTTTGAAACAATTTTTTTTTTTTAATGTTTTTAAAGGACCGCTATAGTGCCAGGAAAACAAACTCGTTTTCCTGGCACTATAGTGTTAATAGGACCCCCCCACCTTCAGGGTCCCCCTCCTGCCGACTTCTAAGGGGAGGAAGGTGTTAAATGCTTACCTTTCTCCAGTGCCGGGTTCCCTCGGCACTGGAGACTCTCCTCCCTCTTCCGACATCATCTGCTGAATGCGCATGCGCAGCTACAGCCGTGCATTCAGTCAGTCCAATGGAAAGGATTTCTCAATGCTTTCCTATGGACGCTGGTGTCTTCTCACTGTGAAAATCACAGTGAGAAGTGCCTCTAGCGGCTGTCAATGAGACTAGAGGCTGGATTAACCGATATGTAAACATAGCAGGGTTAAACCTAGATGGACCTGGCAGGCAGAGTTAAACCTAGATGGACCTGGCATCCAGACCACTTCATTAAGCTGAAGTGGTCTGGATGCCTATAGTGGTCCTTTAAAGATATGGTGTTGATCAGGAGTGCCCAAAAGGTAGATCCCCAGACGGATCACGGAAGTTGTAGTTTTCAAACATCTGGGGATCTATCTTTTGGGCATCCCTGGTGTAGATTTTTTCCATGCTGTATGTGGATTCCAAAGTGTCATTTTATCTAGATGGGTTAGACATCCAACATTGCAGAGTACCCTTCCAAAATACTACTACTAAGTGCATAGCTCTAGTTGGGTTTCTTTTTAATTAAAATATTTTTGCAGACTGTTAATAAAGAGACTTATATCGTGCACGAAAATCATAAAGTTACATGGGGGCATTGGTTCTGCATCTTAAACGGTAGCAACTTCCACTAGCAGGAAATATAACTAATCACGATTTGCGAGT